ATTTTTTTTGTTATTAGAACAAGTCAGCAATCAAAAGGAATTTTTCAAAACAAATGCAAATGTGGTATCTTGGTAGTCACTTGAACTTCCTTCATTATGTCCTTTACTTATGGCTGCTATCAGATAGATATTGCCTGTATTTCTTGCTTTGGAAACTGTCCTTTTTCTTATGCCGGACAGATCATGAATTGCATCATCCTACATAATTTTGGTTTTGAAACTTGGATTTTCTCCTTAGCAGTGAGTGCTATTGTTGAGAGTTTTTGAATTCTCCTTCCTGTACTAACCCTTGCTCTCCAAATGCCACTGATAAAGAACAGAAGCACTATACAATCACATTGGAATCTCCTATCAAATTTGTGCCTTGCTCATAATTGCAGTGGGTTAGAATGAGCTGTGTTTTCCTTATCTGCAGAAAATTGTGCTCACTTACAGTATGGTTGCCTAAATAAGTGGTCACTCAGAAGGAAATAATTTTCTCTAAGAATTTTTTTGGTGTTTAATTTTTTCCAGAGGGCTGGTATATTTCTCCTTCCCTCCTCATTTTTTTGTCCCCCCACCCCCCACACTTTTATAATTTTGTTCTTTTGGTAGGATGGGGAAAGAATGATGGAAAGATGTTTTATGCTCTAGTCTTCATATTAGCAGACATGGAGTGATTACTGCTGGGTAAGGGGCAAAATGACAGACAATAATAAGTAAGATTATACCAAATTCATTCCATTTCTAAACATAACAACTAGAACCACATTGAACATGAAAACATAATCACAGATTTTTTTATTTCCCTCAGATTTTTCCAATTTCCAGTCTACAAAAATGCAAAACACTGAGTAAAAGGCTTGTCCTCCTTCAAAGAGTTCCTAATATTTTTGTTCATATTTTTTTCGAGAGTTTATGGAGTTATAGGTAAACCTTGATTCATTTACGTAGCTTTTGAAATACAGTTTTATTTTTGAATTTGGATGTGTTTAGGTATGCTGAGATTTTTAAGCATTTCAGATTAAAAGGGAAATATATTGATAATACTGATAAAATTTCATAAAATAGCCAGTTTTGAGACACCTGCTGCAAATGGCATCAGGGGCTTGCTTCTGTATTCCTAGGCTACTGTCTGCCCGTTTTGGGCTTTTTTGTAGGGAATAAATTGCAAAGGTAATTCATTTTACGGCTGAACTAAAAAGGCCTGTTTTGGAGTTAGGGGAGGAAAAAGCAAGGACTAAGACTAAGATTGAGGTAATAATACACATAGAGTGGGGGGCAAAGCTGCGGGGAAAAATCAAAGTGAATACCTTCTGCCTTTCTGTGATGCGTGGCTCATACTCTGGTAATTAAATTTACCCATGGTTGTCAGTACACCTTATCCGATCTTTTAAAACAATTTTCTTTGAGGCTAATAGGATACAGCATCTTGTCTTTTGTCCTCATTTATGTGTTAATTCCTAAAATGATCTGTGACCAATTGGAAAAAGGGTAAACTAGGGCTTTGTGTTTAGGGGGTAGAGAATTTTGTTCTCCTGTTGGCTGGGTTTTTGGTGGATGTTCAGATGTTGTGGGAGGCAGAACAGCAACCCCCCAGTGAGAACTAAGAAGTGACAAAAATTTAGCTAAATAGAAGGCCTTTAATAAAATCTGTGTTAGGCCCGTCAGTGCCTTACTAAGTATTGGATGGGCTTTAACCAGCTTCTGTAGAACAATTCCTCATGTTATTCATGGTATGTATTTGAAAGTGGCATTTTCCTATTAATGGGCTTTGCCTAGAAATAAGTGACTATTCCAAAGTGGTGAATAATGAATGATGTTTGCTTAGGCTCCAACCTCTCACAACAGGTGACATGTAACTTACTTTGGAAGGTACTTTTAGAGTAGACCTAGCTCTCTTCAGTATCTCCCTGCCTCCATCTTTTAAAAATTTGCTACTTTCCCTGGTGTTAAAGAATAAAAATTCAGCCAAGTAAATTTAAATATCTAATTGGCTTTATTGAATGATTCATAAATTGGGCAGCACTCATCTGGTAAATAGAAAGATGCTCCAAGGAGTTGTATGAAATGGAAGGTTTTTATAGGTAGAAAGAGGGTGGGACAAGGAAGTTAAGAATGCATTATTTCAAGGTTACCTTCTTGAAGGCAGCGAGTTTTGTCATGCATACTATCTCACTAGACCTGACAGGAAAGTGCAGACTGATAGGTTTAAAATTCCATTCCTGGCCCTTTTGAGCCAGGCTTCTCTTGCCCAGGCCCACTTTCCCTTCCAATAAAGCTTTTCTTTTCTAGTGTAAATACAATACAACAACAATACAAAAACAATACAACAAAATACAGTTCCTGAGAGAGGCTGAGATGCAGTTGGTTAGGAATTAGGTCTTGGTGGGGCTTTTACCATAGTGACTCCATTCTGGGTCTGTTGTTTCTTTGAACACGGGAAAGAATTGCAGAGAAAACCAGGTGTTCTGTGAAATACTGACCCTGCTAATTATCAGAGTTCTTTTTCTTAATTGAGATGTAACTCATATACTAAAAAATTCACCCTTTTAAAGTGTACAGTTTATTGGTTTTTAGTATAACCACAAGGTTGTGTGAACTTAGCACTAATTCCAGAAATTTTCATCTTCCCAAGAAGAAACCCTGTATTCATGAGCAGTCATTCCTTATCTTTCCCCCCATCCCCCGCTCCTAACACCCACTAATCTACTTTCTAATGTTCTGTTTTCCATTAACTCTGTTGTAACTTAATGGTTAGATGAAATGGGGGGTGGGTAGAAGCTACATGAATAAACTTGTTGGGTCTAGCCTATTATTTTCAACTTCTCACTTCTAGGCCCCAGTGCAAAGGGAAGCTGGTCTGGGGAGCCTGTGAGTCTTGATTCTCTTTTACTGTTTGTGATTAAATTTACCAGTCTAAAATAGTGAATGGTAACTTGTGAAATGTTATTGAGACTGACTTGATAATGAAATTAATTTGTGGCAAACACTCTTTTGAATTCTAAGTGCAGAATCACCAACAAAAGCATCACAGTTCCTCTACCTTTTGTTCTGTAAATTTTACAATAATCAATTTAAATTATACAGGACTTCTTCAGTCAAAACCAGAAAACAGGTAGCTTGAACAGATAACAGGCATAGATATATGTGTCAAATATCCTTTAATAAATCCTTTGGATTTCTCTCCATTGCCCTAATATGAGATCATGAAGGATGGATTTTGAAGGCAAGTGGAGGTTAATTTAAAGGAGGAGGAGAAGCACCGATCCTCAGCAGATTTCCCTGAGTAGTAGAAAGAATAAGACATTGAGAAGTGCTAACGAAAATACAACAAACCACTGGAGACCTAGGGGAATGCTCACTTGATGCTCTTAGCTGGTAATAAAAATTTATTAGCTGTGATGTATTCTTAATTGCTCAACTCTCCTGGCCTATCCCAAATGATTTCTTAAAGAACCAGAGTGCTGGACCTTCTCCTGAAGTTTCCACTTTTTATGTAGCTGTGTTTTTCAGTCTGAGTACCACATGTGGCGCTCTTTTGTGGAATTGCTTGGTAAAGCAGTTCCAGAAACTGGCAAACTTCCTCCAGGCCACTGTGATGGAGAGAAGGGAGGATGGATACCACCCCCCACCCCCCACTCCCACCCCGCATACCGTGCCTGTTAGGAAGTAGGTGTTGGGGAAACTAGTGAATATGTACGGAAACCTAAATCCACCAGAGTTGGGAGTGGTTGATGGACCTTTTACAGTAAAACCTGGTAATTGCTTAATGCAGGTGCCCGTTAGTCTCCTGTCCTCTGTCTCGCTTGTTATTATGAGTGACAGGTGCCCGAGGCTTGGAATTGGCAGTAGCTCTCCCACCCTTGACTTGGCATTTGAAACAGGAATGCATTAATCGAGATTAACGTATCAAAATGTTGTGGTTTAAAAAGTGTTTTGAATAGAGTTGAGTCCCTTTGAAACAAGTACTTCCTTTCTGAAAAGATGAATTTCCTTCAAGGATGGTTGGTTTTTCTGTTTATTCTGTTAAAACATAGGTAGGGGGAGGGATCTACAAAAGACATTTTCATCTGCATTGAATTGTGCCTGACCCCCTTTTAATGTTTTTTGAAATTCAGTAATGCCTGTCCTTGCCCTCACCTCCAAAAAATTCCCGGTAGGGAAATAAAGTAAAAAATGAAACTCCGCTTATCTACCCCTACTCTTCACCCCCTGGATTCCCACTACTTTGCAACAACTGCTTTTTAACCATTTGGTTTATTTCCTTCCAGTAGCTACTCAATGAACGTGTAAATGAATTCATATAGTGCTTTTTACTGACATGTCCAGACCCTCTCAGTATCATCGTAAAGGTGACATAATATTAAGCAAGTTGAATTTCTCTGCTCCAGTAAAAAAATGTTGCCTAGGTATTTTAATTACAGTAAGCCCTCACTTAACATTGGAGATAGGTTCTTGGAACTGCAGCCAAACAATGTATAATGAAACCAATTTTACCACAGGCTGATTGATATAAATAAGAGTTAAGTTCCTACAGCATCTCATCAGCATTATAACGAAACGATATTAAACAAAGTGACGTTATGTGAGGACCTGCTGTATAACCCTTTGAGATGTAGTGACTTATGGAGAGTTATGAATTGATGCACATACCCCAGAATTGAACTTATTTGCCATATGAGAAGGAGCTTTGTATTCTGATTATTGACTTGGGATTGCTTCTAGAAACTGCAAAACAGTCTTTCTTTGTTAATTTCTTTGAACTATCCCTTTAAGAAGAGGGACCGAACGTAGTATAAGGAGGCCCTTTGGAGTAATAGCAGTACTCACGTTCATGGTTGCTGATGAGTTCCTCTGTTTTGTGCTTTTTGGGGTGTATTGGTTCAAGTTAAAAATAGAGCTCTAATTAAAATGGGTGTTCTCTCTGGAAATAAGAGCTATATTTCAATTAGCAAATTTCCTGTTTCCTTAACATGTGTTTTTTTTTTGTTTGTTTCCTTTTAATTTTTTTTAAACAGCAAGCCAGGGCTGAGCAGGAAGAAGAATTCATCAGTAACACTTTATTCAAGAAAATTCAGGCTTTGCAGAAGGAGAAAGAAACCCTTGCTGTAAATTATGAGAAGGAAGAAGAGTTCCTCACTAATGAGCTCTCCAGGAAATTGATGCAGGTAAATTATCTTTTCTCTCCTCTCATCTTCCTTGCCTGTTTTCCTCTCTAGGAAAAAATGACTTTGATACAGCACTTTGCTTAAAACATTTGCTGATGAGGTTGTAGCTAATGTTCTTTGGAGATTAAAAATACTGGGTAAAGATGGCAGCAGTGTATACTCAAGATTGTGGTGCCGTAGCTTATCTGCTTAAGGAAGACAAGATAGTCTGTATGCTGAGCATTTCAAGAAATTGCTGACCCTGAGGCCTCAGATGGTAAATGCTGTATGTAGTATTTTGGAAGTATAGGATTAACACCAAGTATGAGATTTCTTTCTCCTTTTATGATGAATATATAATGAATACATAAACATTTTTGGCAGCCAGAAGTGGGTCTTTTGCACTGAAATATGAGGATGTAAGTTAAAATGTCCATTTTAGAGGGGAAAAAAATAAGTGCCTGTGCTCCGTGGTTAAAATGATATATAATCATGTTCAAAGGTAAGTAATATGTTACCGAACAAATATCAAACTGTTAAAACTTAACATTAATCACTAGTAGTATATAGAAGATACCTCACAAAACATATAGGAAGGTTTGATTATTCTAATTCAGAGACTCTCCCCTCCTCCCTTTTTTTTTCCTTAAAGCTTACTGGTGAAGTACAAAAGTAAAAATCATTTAGTGCAAACATTTTGGGGATTACTTAGTGTGAACGTAAGAATATGTAGGATATTGAGCTTTCATTATTTAACATAGCTTGTCCAAAATAGTGAACAGGTATAAAATTATCCTAGAAGTACCATTAATATGTACTTTTTGTCAGATGGCTCTGAAAGGCAGAAACACCCCCTTGTATTTCCTGCTCGCTGTCATCACTAACAATTTCATTCATTAACTTGGTTGGCATATGTATTTTAGTGAGGTTATAATAAAAGGATATTTGAGGCTTTTAAAAAACTTCCTAAATTTTTTTCTTAGCATCTATGCCATAGATTATTCTATAAAAGACCAGAAGCTTTTGTATATAAACTTTAGCGTTAAGACCATACAGTGGTCCGAGCAACTGTTAACTCCATCTTCTTTTATTCTCATTTTTCTATCTGATTACTGAAGATACCATGACAGTCTTGCACAAAATTTGATTTATATGGCAGTTGTTGAAATGTGAAGAATAGAGGTTCCCAGGCATTAGCGTCTAGCAGAGTTTTTTGACAGAATTATTGCATGGACACGGTTTTGTTCATGTGCATTCCGATTTTGAGAAAAAATAATGGAAAAGTTTGGCCTTTGACTATATCTCACCTTGGCAGCATTAGACGACTTATTCCTCATGTTGCTTTTAGAACTATGAGATGCACATTGCTTCTAGATCTATGAAGATGCAATTATGGTTTGTTTTTCTGACTTTGATGTGTGATCAGGTGTCCTTATTTTTAACACTGTAAGAAACCTTTTTTGTTTTCAGCGCTCATGGTTGTTTGTATTTGGAGTCTTTGACCAAAGTACATTATAAAGCAGTCAGAACCTAGCCAATCACATTTCTTTTCTCTAAAAGACTCATCTTCGTTGTGAGTACTTCTGTAGTGTGTAGTTGATAATCAGCCTCTCATTCTCTGACCATCACCACCCACCTACTTTCCAAGGACATTTAAGATACTAAATAAGACTGAAAACATAAGAGCCATGTACAAAAGAAAAGGAAGTTAGTTATAGTAATATACTTGGCATAAGAAAGTTTGGACTTAAAATTTAAGCTCTGAGCATCCTATACAGCTATAACCTGGAGAAATATAGTGATTTTCTTTCATAATTCTTATATCTAAAAAAATAGTTTTACTTGGTCAGGAGAAAAAAAAATTTATGTATTAAAAAATTAAATTTTTTGAGGGGCATTGGATCTTTCTAAAGAGCTATGTCTGTTCTGTGTCATGGTAGGTGATATCTCACTGTAAACATCAGGTGGTAAATAACCCTAGAAGCTCTCTTCTATTGTTAGCCAGTTGGAAAGACCTCAGATAGCCGAGGATGGAAGAGCTGTGGGCCTGCGGGCCTGCGTTATCCATCCTCCAGGCTTCCCAGTATATATTTCCTTAAGGGTTTCAGTGAGTTCTTTGTTGAAGGCTCACATTTTCTGCCACCCAGTGTGGAAGAACTGCTCTCCATCTGGAAGGTTTTTAGGGTAATTGGTACCAATAGACTTTTCCAACTGTGTAATTACTTTAATACGGCTCTCTAAGACATTTGCTTCTGGATAGAGCTTTGTTATGAAAAGTCTGCTAAGAGAAATGGTACTGCAGGTGCCACTAATAGACAAATGAATGAATTGACCTTGTTCACCATGAAAGTGTTTAGCATTTTTCACCCAAAGGCCACTGAGAGGCTATTTATAGCACAGTTTTGGTTTTGTCATTATGCTTTGGCTGTTGTCTCTCATAGTGATTGAACATTGCTTTTATGTGCATTTCAAAGGAATTCTTTGGGCCTGAGAACAAACCGAGATTATTGCTATGGAGGAGACACCTCCCTTCCAGTCTGCTATGACTGAACTGGTATCTAATACTTTAAAAACTGAATCAAGCTTCTTTAGGTGTAGAGAGGAAATCCCTTTGCCCTTTTAGAAGGTCAAGCTTGAGAGAGAGTTTAAATTCCTCCATATATGTTAATGCGCGCGTACACACACACACCCCATGCAGCTTTTCTCCCTTGCTTTTGTGTCTAATAGATAGATACAAAATTATGTCTTCAGTTTATAAAAACTCTTGTCTGAAAAACCTGTGTCCTCAGCTCAGACTGTGGGATTAGTTATCTGACTAGTTAGAAATTGTCCTGTAAAGAACCTTCTTACACTTCTGGTAAGTTCAGCATAAGCCTGCATCAGAACTTAATTCTGCCCTGAAATGCATTGAAGAGAGGTAGTTTAATCGTAATTTGTAATTAAAATTTACAACAAATGGTTTGTGAGCAAACTCTTCATCAGAATTTGATATGGAACATGTTTATTAAATAAAAAGTCTAATGCGGTATAGCGAATGTAGACAACGATATTGTATTAGAATCATACTTGCTAAATTCCCACTCTTTGAGAAACTAAATATAATTGTTGCTTACACTCTTCTCAACCAGTGCCACTGTCAAAAGTCAGCGCATACTTCCTTTTATTAAAACCCTGGAGCAGAATTGAGATAAAAAGAGTACTGGGTATTAACATACATTTCTGATTCATTTCAATCTAATCCATCTTTCAAATTTCAGACTTTAAAATAATAAATAGGGTTATAGTATTGTAATTTTGATTTACATTTGAAGTAGGATGTGGTCCTCAGAAGATAATACCACTATAGCAATAATTGAAATTATAGGGGGCACGTTCTTATTGATTATTAAAAATACTTAAAAAATAAGTTTTCTGAATCTCTTGCTAAGTGGCGTGGCTTATTATTAGCTTGCTCCCTAAGATTAGAATGCCTTCTAGAATTAAAGTACTTGAAGTTTCCTAGCATCTATTGAAAGATGATATTTAGAAGAAAGGAAGGAAGTTGTGGGCAAAAACCACCGATAAAACTGCCACTCCCAAATGATTTATAGCTGAGCAGTTCAGAAGGATATCATTCAACAGCATTATTCTTTCATCTCCCTTAGCACAGGAATAAAACTGGGAGGGAGAATTTCAGCAAGTTTCCAAATCTGCCTGTTCATCTAGACAAAGGCATGCCATTCATTTGCCTTCTCCCTCTTTTTGCCTCAATTCTAGAGTAGTTTCTCCTTCCAATACCTTGTTAATTGATTTAGTCTTCTGGAGCGTATGCTTCCCAAACCCCAGAAAGGCTGTCTCTCTGGGTAGCAGACATGACTGCAGGTATCAGAAATTAGCCTAGACTCCCAATACCCTTCTTCTCAAGCATGTACACCAGAATCTGAGACTGCCTTTTTTTCCCCTCCTAGTTACCTAGGTTATTAAGATGCAATGAAATGATTTTGTTTGTGCAGGCAGTAAAATCACATGTCATGGAGATAAATATGTATGTAACTGTTAATTTCAAGGACTGCCATTGCATCCATCCAAATGAAAACTTGGTTCTCCCCATGGCAGGGGAGAAGAGACTTAATATATTCTTCATTACAGTGGCTAGACCAGCGTGGCCCTCTTGGCTTTTAGTTTTTCAGGGCTGTTAATGCTGGTCAGAAAAAACTGCTGTCACCTAATAGCTTACAAAACCGTTGGGGTGCACGCGCGTGCATGTGTGTGTGTGTGTGTGTTGTTTTTTATTCCAAATTCTCTGATGTTCAGCTTTGTCTGTTTCTCATTTCTTTTCATGGAGCAGGAGGCTTACACGTTGCATTCATGATACATCATCTGCAGAGAGCCCCTGGGATGTTTTTAAGGCATGTTAGATGCTGCAAGCACCAGAGGCCAAATTAGAAACCAAAAATTTTCTGTTGGTAGCATGCCAGAAATCTCTCAGTCCAACATCATTTGCATTATGATTAGAACATATAATAATGTTGACGCAGTTCTTTAAGTCTTAAGGAAGCATTGAGTTTCTTTCAAAGTGTGTGTATGTGTGTTCACGTTGTGGTTATACTTGATGTACCAACACAGATTCCCAAAAATGTAAGGACAAGAGTAAGGACTTAGAAGCTTCCCATTCTGACTTTGGACAAAATGTAAGAAAATGCAAGTAGAGAGAAATTAGCAGTAAAAAGGGAAAATAAAAATAATTAGATGAAGCTAGGATGAGAGGTTGCTTTATTCACCAGAGTAGGGGTGAACATTTTATGTTGAGTTGAAAAGGTGAATCTTGGTTATTGAAAGATAGCTATTTCTGGAAATGCTTTTTAAATGCTTGTAAAACTTTGCAGTTACTAATGTTGCATTGTTTTGCATTTTGGGGGTAGGTTCTTTTTTATTTTTAAACTATGAACTACAGTCAACTATGTCAGTAATTACCTTAAAATACAGAGTTATAGCTATCTTCGCCTTCCTCTTTATTCATAAACTAGATAAGAATGATGAGT